CAATGAGCAGTGGCTGGAAGCCTTCTACATGACCCAGGGCACCTTCTGGGACCTCCTCAAGCGGCTCTGGCTACACCTGGAGCAGCAGGACACAGGCATGTGGCCACCCCTCCCCGCAGACACTTGGCTGGCCCTTTCCCTGCTCAAGCTGGCCACACCCACCAGCCTGCAGTGTATCCACTACCTGTTTGGCCTGGGCAAGGCCACTGCTGGGGAGGCCATCTTGAAGGTGTGCAACATCCTCCAGGATGTGCTGGGTGGGCACTGCGCTCTGTGTGCATGACCCCTTGGTGGTAGTGGTAGGGTTCCATACCCTGGAATGCACCTGCCTACCCCATGGAGACTGCCCTTACCACAGCTGGAGGGGCTTTCACTCCATGGTGTTACAGGTCATTGGGGAACACGGTGTTGCCTTCATGCATGTGAGTGCTGGGTGGGCAGGCAGAACCCATAATGCCTGTGTCTTCTGAAACTCTGGCCTGCTGGGCCTGGTGAAGAGTGGACACTTTGTGCCAGGGGTGCTGGACCTGCAGCTGGGTGCCATAGTGGTTCTGTCTCTCCTCATCAGGGACGCTGTCTACCTGCTCCTGTCCTGGCTCATGCAGCCCTACCCTGGCCAGCTGGAGCCTCTGCCAGGCCCAATTCAACTCTGCCTGGGCTAGACCCACGCCCTGGTGGAGTGTGCCTTGGGCTGTCTCAGGGCTCAACCTCACCACCTGCCTTGAGTTCACAGAGCACAGATTTTCCCAAGTCATCATCACAGCCTGCATGCTGCATAACATCTGCAAGGCCAGGGGGAGCTCTTTCATGAGGCCTGGGTGGAGGAGGAGCAGCACATGGAGGATGTCTGGAAGTGGAAGTGCCATTAGTGGTGACAGCTGCAATGATGGCCCCCTGCACTGAAGGTCCAGGAGAGTCGTGCACCTACCAGAGGAAGCAAGGGCACCAGATGTGGGAGGCAATGGCTCACCACCTCCTCCAGCATTTCCCACTCTAGCCCACTGTACCGCTGCAGATGCACCCAACCCTTCCTGCCCACTCCCAGCACTATGCTCACTGCAGACACGACTCACAAAAACAAGTTTTTATTTCCCTCACATCGACCAGAACCGCCCTCTCTCCTCCCTCCCCAAGAAACAGAGTTCACCACCCTCCTCAACAAGGAGCCACCCAACCACCTACTCCACCCATCAGCAATAAAAAATCTTCTTCTCTGTGAAAACTATGTACAATGTCCTTTGTGTGCCATCCTGGGATGGGGGGCTGTGAGGTGGGGGTGCCTAAGGCAGGCAGGCAGCACCCTGACCCCTGGCTGCTCCCCCATGGGTGTGTATGACATGGCGAGTATGGTAGGTGGGGGCTTGCCCAGAGGTGATGGCATTTTGTCTCCCTTGGTGTGGGTGGCTCCCCCTCCAGCAGTCTGTGTCAAGGCCCAGCATGGGTGGCATGCGGACCTGGCCTTGCTGCAGGCAACTCCAGCTCCACACCCATGTGGAGGCAGGGTGAGTGGCAGGGCTGGGCCCAGGAGGGGAGCTGGGTGGTGCTAGCCGTGGGGTGGGGCCAGACTGCTGGAGGTGGTGCATAACCTCCTCCCAGGCCCAGGTGGGGGCCTGCTGCTAGGTGGTGGGTGGCTGCTGGGGGACAGGCAGGGCTAGGATCAGGGACTGGCCAGTGGATGGCCCAAAGGTGATGCACAGGGCCAGAATGGTGTTCAGCAACCAGTGGTTGTCATCTGTGGCCAGGATGGCGTTCTGTTGCTGCGAGGCCTCCACCTGCTTGCACTCCAGGGCCAGGAGCTGTGCCCAGAACTCCCAGTCCATTTGGTCCTGTGTGTCCTTGCAGGAGATGTCCTCTGCCTGACACCTGTCCTGGTGGGCCATGTCCTCCACCCACCACCTGTGCTTGTGGGCCACGTCCTCCACCTGCCAGGCCCATGCTTCCCCCAGATGGTCCTCTGATGTCATGACCAGGTGATCCAGGAGGAGGGTCCTGTCCGGGTCCTGCTCTGGCAGAGCTAATGTATCTTCAGGGCCCTTGTTGTGGGCAGCAGCAACCCTGAGGCAACATCCCAGCTGCCAAGGGTGACCCCTCTCCTGCATGCAGCTTCTGGCTCTGTAAAGCCATGAGACAGAAGTTGTATGTGAGAGTTTGCAACATGTCAGAGATAAGATGTTTTATACCAGGGGTTGTGTGCTGCCTGGCCTCAGGTCAGAGGTTAGGTGTGCACAGGTGGCCAGGGACCATATTAAGTTGGTCTGGCAGGCCTGGGCCCAGGCAGCTGCTGGCCCAGCCCTGCATTCCTACTTGCCCCCCTCAGGCTGGTGGGCTGGTGGGTGCCAGTTGCAGGCAGCCTGCCTTTCCCACCCCATTTCCAGGCCAGGACAAGCCAGGCTCCTGGCAGCACCTGCAGTTTCTTTATATTAACCTTATTATTTTTATATTCAACCTCTTTATAATTAGTTTTCTTTAATTTTAAGTCATTGCTAGCAAAATATTGTTCCTTACTTGTATGTAGAGAAGCAAGCATGTTGTGCTGGTGCTAAGCAAACTAGGATGGAGAATGGAAAGGGCAACAGAACAGGGTCACATTGAATTTAGTATCAGTTACAGGAGAGCCTGAGAGTAGGACTGAGGTGCACTCTCAAGACCCCTTTAAGCCATATATTAGCTGGATGTTGGTCTAGGATGTGCATAGAGCATGTACAAGTGGGGATGAGTTGGCCAGAATATAGGATAGATATTGCATTAGGAACCTAAAAGTAGTGGGGATGCCATCAAAACGCCTTAGAGGTGAAACTGGTTCTAGGCCATTAAATCCACACTAAAGCCCTGTTCAGTTTTACAAATTAATGGGAAAGGACATGTATAATGTTTCTATATTGTCTATCTGTTTCCGTGCTGTGAGGTGAGTGGGGAGATGTTAAAAAATACAACTCTTTAAGATGGTTTTCCCTTAAATTAAGTGAAAGCACTTTTCTGGAAAATACTTTTAACTTTGTTTATATGGCATAGAATCATAGAATCATAAAAATTAGGGTTGGAAGGGACCTCAGGAGGACATCTAGTTCAACCCACTGCTCAAAGCCAATCTCCTATTCCAACCCCAACTATATCATCCTAGCCAAGGATTTGTCTACCTGGGTCTTAAAAATCTGCAAGGATGGAGATTCCACAATCTCTCCTGGTAACCTATTCCAGTGCTTTACTACCCTCCTAGTGAGCAAGTGTTTCCTAATATCTACTCTCAACTTCCCTTGATACACCTTGTGACCATTGTTTCTTGTTCTGTCATCTGCCACCACTGAGAACAGTCTAGCGCCAACTTCTATGGAGCCACCCTTCGCGTAGTTGAAGGCTGCTATTAAATCGGCCCATAGCCTTCTCTTCTGAAGGCTAAATAAGCCCAGTTCCCTCTGCCTCTCCTCAGAAATCATGTGTCTGAGCATTGTAATAATTTTTTGTTGCCCTCCACTGGACACTCTCCAATTTATCTACATCCTTTCTGTAGTGGGGGGGCCCAAAACTGGACACAGTACTCCAGATGTGGCATCATCAGTGTTGAATAGAGGGGAATAATAACTTCCCTTGATCTGCTGGTAACATTCCTACTAATGCAGCCCAGTATGCTGTTAGTTTCTTTCACAGCAAGGGCACACAGTTGGTTCATATTCAGCTTATTTCCCACTGTAAGACCAGGTCCTTTTCCATAGAGCTGCTGCCTAGCTAGTCAGTCCACAGCCTGTACTAGTGCATGGGACTCTTTCATCCTAAGCGCAGGACTTTGCACGTTCGGTTATTGAACCTCATGACATTTCTTTTGGCCCAGTCCCCCAATTTGTTGAGGTGTCTCTGAATCCTAGCCCTACTCTCCAGTGTATTCCCCCAGCTTGATGTCATCTGCAAACTTGCTGAGGGTGCACTCTATGCCATCTCCCAGGCCATTTATGAAAATATTAAACAAAACCAGTCCCAGGTCTGACCCCTAGGACACTCCACTTGATACTGGCTGACAACTACACATGAAACCATTAATTACTATATCCTTTGAGTCCATTATCCAGTTGTCTATCCACCTTACAGTTGATTCATCCAACCCAGACTTCCTCAGCTTGCTTGAGAGTTTGCTGTGGGAGACCATATCAAAGCCTCACTAAAGTCAAAGTATATCATGTCCACCACTCTCCCCACATCTCCAGAGCCAGTCATCTCATCACAGAAGGCAATCAGATTTGTCAGACATGAATCCATGTTGACTGTACCTAATCACCTTCTTCTCCAAGTGCTTAGAAATTGATTCCTTGAGGACCTGCTCCTTAATTTTTCCAGGGAATGAGGTGAGGCTGACTGGTCTGTAGTTCCCCAGATCCTTCTTCTTCCCTTTCTTAAAGATGGGCACTATATTTGCCCTTTTCCAGTAATCCAGGACCTCTCCCAATCGCTATGAATTTTCAAAGATAAAGGCCAGTGGGCTTTGCAACCACATTGGCCAACTACCTCAGCACCCTCAGGTTTATCACATCCAGCCCTATGGATTAGTACTCATCCAGCTTTTCTAAATAGTCCCTAATATGTTGTTTCACCACTGTTGGCTGCTCAGTTCAGGCATTTGTCACCTTAACTGAAGTCTCAGTAGAGACCAGTTTTAGAAACTAATTTACACTTGCACTTAAATGCTTAGAAATATCTGCTACATAAGAAATTTGAGGCATATTGGTAGACAAGCTAGTGCTTGTTAGGTCAACTTATTGGTATTTAAACTGACCTGAAGAGTGTAAGAGCTGAAGTGAAGGCTTAAGACAGGCACTCACACAAATCTTTTTTCTAATTACATGCAATGATGCAGATTAACTCATCAATCTCAGAATCCAAACTCTGTTAGAAAACTTAGGTAAAAACAAAACATATCTTCCTGGAATTGACCCCAAAATCTTCCCAGACACACAACAGGGCCAATTTTCCCTAAAATCTATGAGCAAAAGCCATAGTGAACTTAACAAACTCAGTGGAAAACTTTGGAGCTTTTCCTTTGGTTCATGACACTTCCTAGGCAATTTGGCTTGTGCTTCTTTCTAGGTAGCTGAAGATCCAGGTGAAATACTGAAATTGAAAAAAAAAAGGAAAAAATATCAGTCTTTAAAATTCAGAGCTGTAAATTTTTAGCAAAGGAGAGATGAGAACTAAAAATAAGGGTTTTTTTTCTAAGCATAAGTAACTATGAAATGGCCAAATTACCACACAATTTAAAGATCAAATCAAGTTCCCATTTCTAACACAAAAATGTTAATAAAATATTCCTGTATATCCTTCAATGAATTAATAAAACTTGGCTTGTAGCAGTAGCTAGCTACTTATATCTTCAGATTTATCGAAGTGGAAACCGATCTCCTTCATAAAATGATCAAGCACATTTCCTTTAGAAGGTTTCTTTTATGCCCTTCAGCATGGAATTAATAAGCTTCCTTATTAAAGAGCTAAGATCAACAAAATCAATATGTGTCTATCTCCCCCTATTCACTTCAGATATGGAAGCTACTCTTTTGGTTCTACTCTTCAGAAGACTTTATCTGACTGAGTAATATCAAAGTTGATACAGTTTATCAATTTCTATTTAGCCTGGCTGCTGTTGTTACTGATGAAATTAACTTATCCTTTCTTTACCATATTTCAGGGGTTCCCAAAGTTTTATGCTGTGGCCCGGCAAACCATGGCCCAGCAGTCGCAGACAACTGTGGCTGGAATTTCCATCCAGGAGACTGGTAAAGATACCCCTACACCCCAGGTGGAGGGGTTGGCCAAACCCTGCACTGCCATGGGCCCTGCAGAAGGAGCCATGGCCTCTCCGCTCGGCTCTGTGGGGCCATGGTTTGCTGGTCTGTGGCCACTTCTGGTCCAGCAGCCAACCGTGCTGCGGACCGGCAGCCGACGCACTACTGGGCCATCCAAAT